CCAAACTCCTTGACCCTTACGTGTAGTGGACCTCCTGCTTGACCTTGGCCATCTTCTCGGCACAGTCACGGAGGGCCACCTCGCCATCGTGCAAGTAGCGCTGCACAGCCGCCGACGACCACCTTCCCGTCCGCTTGATGAGCTCGATCTCGCCGGTGGCCTGGAACAAAGCTGACGCCCCACCAAGAGTGGGACATGAACCTTCCGGCTGGGAGTCCACAAGCCACGGCAGCCTTCTGGAGCACGTTCTGCACCTGAGTTCTCTTCAGCACTTGACCACTGGACCACCTGAAAAGGGGTTTCAGGGCTTCACACCCTGAGGAGAACCGTTGCGGTGCCACAGCTTGCAACTTCTTGAGGGCCGTCACGACACACACTTCGGGGACTCCGGAGACGTAGAAAGTCTTGCACTCGCCAAAGGCCTCCTGATCCACCTTCGTCTTGCGAAACTGCAATGTGACCCCAATGATCACTGGCTCGGCACCCTCGGAAAACACAAACTTAAGGTCGGCGCCGCGAAGAATCATCATGAGGTCAACCCCGTTGGAGTCACAGTATTCTTTGGCCCTCAGCATGAAGAACCACGCCGTCTGCACAGCAGCGTTGAGCATCACCGCGTCGAAGAAGTCCGCGGCGTCACCTGACAAGTGCTGGACAAAGGAACCAATCCACTTCAGCATGGCCCCAGACCGTTTCTCGAGGGTGCCAAGCAGCATCCACAGGCGGTACATGCGCTCGGTCGGGTCGCCTTTGCCAGCCCTTTTGCGTGCGTCCTTCGCGGCGAAGACGGCCTGCTTGAGCGTAGCCACTGAGCACCCCAGCCATCCTAAGTAGCCCAGGAAACCCAGCAGCTTGTCCTCGTTCTCCTCGGTCGGCATCGCCTTGTCGAGGTGCTCAGTCATCCATCCCTGCCTGCGTGCCCAGGCCCGCCACTTGCCATACACCCCGGAGTACTGTCGCGTAGTACTCTCAGCCAAGTAGCCGCTGAGGTTCTCCTCGACCCATTCTTCAACACGAGCTCCAACCGCACCGTCAAAGGGGTAGAGAGGGCCCTCGTCGTCCTGGAACTGAGCCTCCCCTACAGCGACCAACGCAGTGGCGCCACACATCCTTCCGTCGGCCCCGACCGCCGGCTCGTGCTCTTGTTTCGTCGTGGCCAACCTCGCCTCCGTCCTCGCTGGAGTCCTCCCACAGCACACTTTCGATCCAGGCCCACACTACGCGCGGTCGACCTCCATCGTGTCCCGGACCGTCATCTTCACGACCTCCTGCACGTCGTTCACCGGCAGGATCGTGCCCTCTTGGTAGAAGCCCTCGGCGCCATCTGCACAGCCACTCAAGCAGCTTTGCCAGGCGCTCATCGCCCAAATGGTCGCCATGGCCACCCCGCCTTGCGTCCCGACTGGAATGCGACATAGCCCGCCATGACCACCAAAGCCGCTGCCATGCCCGTCGCTCGATTTCCGTCCACGAGGATCTCCTGCTCAGACCTTCCTTTGTCCAACAGCTCGACGAACGCCTGCTCAGTGCGGCCCTGGCACCTCCACACCTCCGCAGCCGTGAGTTTTCGCACTCTTCCTGTTGGGCCCCGTAATTCCCAAACCAAACTTGGCTCCACCCGCTCCTCCTTTGGTACTCGCAGGGGCCACAAAAGCGGACCCCCAATGCCCACCAAGTTGCGCCTCTGCCCCTCCAGCCAGAAATGACCTTTGATCATGGGAAGCAAGGGCTCGCGCGGGATGCCGTCCATGGTGATCTTGACCGGCCCGACCCACTGTTCGTCCACAACTGCCTTGGTTGGGTCCAAATGGGGTTGCATGGGGGGAGCCAACTTGCTGCGACACGTTGTGAGCTCAAGCGGATTCCCGTCCAACTCGCTTCGACTGGCCACCAAACAAACCCTCCGCCTCACCGCCGCCTCGCCGAACTCGGAGGTGATGAACTCGCCGATGTGCACCGACCACATGGCCCGCAGGAACTGCTTTGCTGCGCCGTCCCACATCACCGCTCTGGGGCCCTCAAACACCACCAACGCTGCGTTGCTGTCTATGGCTGCCTGAGCTGCTTGACTTGCAACCTTGCCATGAAAATCCGGAGGAAAGGCTGCAAAGACCAACTCGCCCTGCTGGATCGGCCCTGCCCAAGTCGAGGTTCGCACCTGACAACCAAGAGCCTCCGCCGCGGCCGCGAAGTCAAACACGAAACGTTCCTGTCCGGCCAGCTCCACGACCTTCAAAGTTTTCCACACAGGGCTGCTCCACCTTGGCACTTGTCTTTTGAGCCGCTGCTCCTTCAGCTGCAACAGCTCACGCCTGTCTGACTCTTCCCAAGCCAGAAGCGTGAGCCCAAAGAGCTGCGAGTCCTCGAGGGCCTGCCGAAGGTCGTCCGCAACGTTGACCACTGTTCAGAGTTTGTCGGTGACCAGCTGCTCAAACTCCAAGTCGGTGCAGCGGGTAATGTAGTCAGCATGCGTGTTATGATAGGTGCGCCACCACGCAGCAATCACAACGCAGCGGAAGCGCATTTCCAGCATGTTCAGGATCCTGACGAGCAGCCTGCCAACCACGGTCTCGCTCTTACGTCCTTCGATCCATCCTCTAACAACCTGGTTGTCGCCGCCGTACAGCACGACCTTGCCGCTCCAACCCCCCGCCACTTTGCAAGCGAAAGCCAGGAAGGACAACATTTCGGCGACATGGATGGCGACCTCGTCCTCCACCGCCGTCATGTACACCCACTTCGCCGCCAGAGCCGCCTTCATGCGCATGACGATGCCATTCGTCCAGTCAATGGCCCCGATGACCTGCTTCGTGGCATCCGAGGACACAAAGACCACACCTTGTTGCCATTCGCCAGGCACGGCCAGCCGCTCTCGAACAGGTAGGAGTTCACGAAGCCCAGCACCAAACTTAGAGGACCAGGTTTCGGGACGAGCACACAGCCATCGAGTCGCTTCGAACAACTCCCACAGATCTCGCCATGCTTGCTCGCGCTCTTCCTCACAGGTTGGATCGGAAACCTTTGGAGTAGCTCGGGAACCGCCATCAAGGTTGGGTCCGATGAAACGGTCTGCCGCCTTGAGTTCATTGCGAAGGCCCGGGACAACCACTGACCACCCGGTGACGATGCCGCGGAACCGTTGAATGGTCCTCACACTGATCTCTTTGCACCCATAGTCGAAGCACGGGTCACTCAGGAGCGCGGCACCTTTCATGATCCTCCTCTCAGGCAAACGCACGGCCTCAGATACCGTCTCAACATCAAGTCCCCACACGGTTTGGAAGGTCCGAAACGGTCCCTCCACGCTGTCTTTGTCTGTGTTGACAGCGCGCTCGCCCAACATTTTGTTTTGACCCCTTTCTCGTACACTTCGGCCGCCACCCACGGTCTCAGGCCAACATAGGGCTCCACCAACACGTTGTCATCCACCAGGAAGGAGGTGCTCAAATCTCGCCTGGCGTTCGCTGGTCGGTGACTCGTGAGAAAATCTTCCGTGGCCCTGCCCCACACAGCCCATTCGCCAGGTGATCCCGAGAACCCAAAGGAGCTGACCAGGTAGATGACCGTGATGTCCTCGCCATCCACTTCCTCGCCACCTTCCATCTCCATTGGCAACCAGGGTAGCTCTCCAGCGAACAAAGCCACATCTCTCGGGTCCACCCACAACAAACGGAAAGCCCCGGCAATGTCCTTTTTGGAAAGAAGAACCTCCACCCCAGGGCAATGACACTTGTGCCACATGATGAGGCGTGCAACCTGAACATGCTTGGGCTGAACTGCAGGCGGATGCCACTCCTTGTCCGTGAGCGCGTTGACACCCCTTCTGGTCGTGCACCACCCGCTTGTCCACCGCAACGGTCCGGTCGGGCAGCATCTTGTCCACGGCGTCGGAAGGGCTCGCCACCACTCCTTGCAGAAGGCTATGAGCTGACGGCACGACCAAGACGCGCTGCTTCGCCACATCCTTCCAGATCTGCCGGTACAACTGATCCACATGCCTCCTCGCGTTGGGGCGCAACTTCGCCCTTCTCCTTTCCCTTGGGCCCGGGCACCGTGCAGCAAGTCCACGTTGACGGACATCCCGAAGATATGCCAGAAGATCTGGATGCAGAACAGTATCCAAGTACGGACGCTCGACCCCTTTCAAGTTGTTGAGGCCTCGGTCTTCCCGGACCTGCCAAAGGCTCCTTGCCGCGTCCTCCACCGAGCCCGCGCTATCCAACAAAAGGCCACCCTGCTTGCACACTGCTTTCCAGTCCTTTGGCCCACCGCCTCCACTGGCTGCAACCTCGTCAACGTACGCCTCAGCAGCGCTCCTCGCAACCTCCGATGGGGCCTCGTAGATCGGCTCCATGCTCCCTGCCCTCGTGTCTCCGTCGCCGCACACCGCAAAGGCCTTCGTGATCTGGAAGTCGATCTGGTCATCGTCCCAGATATCGTCGAGCCAGCCTGGCCTCCAACAACCACCTCCGGCACGCCCATCACCATGGTCGAAAGTTCGTGGGTCTGCATACGGAATGCTGGTGCTTGGTAAGGTAGCTGGGTTTGATGACCTGCAAGTGGCGCTGGTGCTTGATGAGGTAGCTGGGTTTGATGACCTGCAAGTGGAGGAGCAACCGATGCCTGGCTTCGAGCTTGATGAGGTAGCTGGGTTTGATGACCTGCAAGTGGTGCTGGTGCTTGATGAGGTAGTAGCTGGGTTTGATGACCTGCAAGTGGAGGAGCAACCGATGCCTGGCTTTGAGCTTGATGAGGTAGCTGGGTTTGATGACCTGCAAGTGGCGTCGCAACTGATGCCTGGGTTTGATAAGGTGCTGGTGCTTGATGAGGTAGGAGGGTTTGAGGACCTGGCCGTTCTGTACCCCACTGCGACGATCCAACCGTCGTCTCTCCCCCCACGCAAAGAACCTTGACCACGGCCTCCACGAAGTCCCTAGCATAGACGCCCGCCTCCGTGCAGCGCGTAGCCGTTGCCCCTGGCCTGGAACCTTTCAACGGTATGTGTCTGTGAGCGGACCCAACTCCCGGGCACCGCCTTGACAAAGCTGCAGCCAACGGCTCACATCGTGGGAAAGCCAAGCGCGTCTTATGGTGGTAGAAGCCGTCCTCCCCTTCCGGACCAAGGCCAAAGGCGCACATGGGAAACTCAACCTACTGGACGTCCGGGCGTGCCAAAATCTCGCGCCAGCAAGGCAGGTCCCACATCTTCGGGTATCTGCCCGACCGAGCTGTGGACTCTGCAATCGGAAAGGCCCCCGACTCCAAAGCCGTCAGGAAGAGCTCCGCCTCAACCTCACTCAGGATGTTGCTGATCTCCTCATTCTCGGTAAGCTGCTTGCCGTCACTGCCACCTTGAGGATGCCGAAAGGACCGCGTGCCATTGTTTTGCAAACCCCAGTCACAGAAGCTTGCGCAAGGGCCAGCAAGCCACCACACATTTGCCGGCCCATTGTTAGCCTGCTGCAGCAAACGTCGCCTCACCTCGGGGAGCGTCAGGTCGAAGGCGGCGCGGTAACCTTGCTTCAGGCGCGGCTCCTCGTAGACCTCCACGGGTTCCACGCAGCACACTCCAGCACGTTCCCAGCCTTGAGACATCACGCCCGAGCCCGCGAAGACCTCCTGAAAGCAGAGCGTTTTGCCACGAAGTCGAAGTTGGTACAGGCCACCAGGGACGGTGGCGCCTGCGCGTATGCAACCCGCAATGGCCGCAGCTGCCAGGCTGCTCTCCTTCCGAGGTCCGAGGATGGCCTGCGTCAGACACTGCCCACCTGCCTTCCGCCCGGGCTTGCAAAGTCGGCAACAGATTGTGCCAGGGCTGGTCCGTTCTTGATCATACCTGGAGTGCCAAAAGAAGAGGAAGCCAAGGGCCGGTGCGTCGTGAGGTTGCCACCGATCAAGCATCAAACCCACGTTAGTGTCGCTCGGCGGCTCCAGGAGCACCATGTGGCCCCGCCAAATGAGAGTCCACAGCATCCAGCCGCCCTCCTGCCACATCGTGCCGGTGACCGTTTCCATCACGATGTCCCCCTTGTAGTCAGCTCGAATGACCACCAGCTTGCAGTCCTCAAGGTCCGAAACAGGGAAAACCACACGTGACCTGAAGTCCTTGTCGTGGTTCGCGCGGACCATGTCGTGGGTGTAGATCCGGATCTCCGCCTCGATCGGGGCGACCCGGTTCTCTGCCATGCCCATCGCATCCTTGGCCTCCACCGCTTGTCGTGCCTGATCCAGTCGGATCTCAGCCGCCTTGGCAGCCACCTCATCCACAGTAGGTCGCCTCGCCCTTGTTCGCCACAGGACCCCTGCTACCGCCGCTTTGGTTACGCACTGCCTCCTCTCTGTCCCCGCCTCGGCTTGTTCGAGGAGGGCCGCGAGCTCTTCCGACATGGGGATCTCCTCCTTGAAGTCCCAAATCGTCTGCCCGGTTCGCCCGGCATCCAGGTGGTGTCCATGACTTGCAAAGTCCCAGTCGACCCTGCCTTGGTGCCCAGCGCTCGTTCCAGAAACAAAGTGGCTTCCTCGGCCATCTCGCCCAAACCATAGGTGGCCATCTCAGAAAGGATCTCCTCGAAGGACGTGGGTTTTCTAGCCACGCGCGCCGCTGCCCAGGCGTACAGGTCGTCGGAGGCGTCCTTCAGCTTGCTCAGAACCGGGCCGTTTGCCAGGTCTCGGGCTCTCTGCATGAAGTCCTTTGCCTCCTCCGGCGCCGTCTCGCCCGTGGCCTCGTCCAGCACCTTCCCGGTTGAAGCGCGGTCCACCAACCACTTGAGATCCGGGCCCTTCAGCTTTTCGCGCATGTCCTGCTCCGCCGCGGTGAAAATCCACCGCCTCAAACTCTTCCGGGACGTCCCAGACTCGAACCACCTTATCGCCGCCTGCCCGAGTTTCACCTTGACTTTCCGTGGTGGCTGAGGCTGGCACTTGTCCTGACTTTCTCCCGTCCGCGACCTTGTCCGCTTTGTCCTTGGCAATCTCCGCTCGTAACGACTTCACCTTATTCGCAACCGACTCCTTCGTCTCCGCTTTCATGCGTCGAAGTCCCCTTCGTCGGAGAAGCTGCATCCTCACACACGGATCCAAAGACTCCCAACGGCCTTGTAGGTCGGCATGAGAACGTTGGCATCCAGCGCTCGAACAGCCCATGTGGGTCAAAGCCCCCTGCAGCAAAGAAGGGTCCCATCCTTGTCGGTCGGCACCCTGTCCTTGGCCCGGTTCACCTCCTCGGTGGATAACTTCGGGCCCCGCAGATTTCCTTGAGACGGCTTGTCCTTCTTGTCGGGTTCGCCGCCGCCCGCGTGAACCACATTCTGCTGTTTTGCCCCACGGCCTCCTTCCCAAGTTAACCGCCACAGTATTCGCTCCTGCCTGCGTTCAATGCGTGTGAGGACCTCAGCGGTGAACCAGCCGTCGGGATTCTTCAAGTCAAAGGTGCGGGGCAACTCCAGCCAGGCCCTGCCCTCGGCATTCGGCAGCAGAGCGAAGAACTTGATGTCCTGCAGGGACATTGTCTCCCGGTTGGCCTCCTTCTTTAGAAGCCTGAGGACCTCCTTCAGCTCCTCGAAGAAACGCCAGTGCAACTCCTCCCAAATTTCGGACACCACTGAAAGAGGCCACTTATGGGGTTCGGACTGGTGCCACTCCAAAAGCAAAGTCAAGGCATGCGATCGCACTGGCTTCCACTCTGCACCATAGACTAAGGCCCAAACATCATTCTGCCGCCTCACGCGCGCCTCCCAGTCTTCGATCTTGTTCGGAGGAGGAGGTCGTTGATCGTGGCCCGGCTTGCTGGTACGTAGTTCCTGCACAAAGGCGTCCAACTCCGCGTCGGTGTGCGCCACAAAGTCCGCCGCCGTGAGCGAGTGCTTATCTTGGGTCCCCCAGTACGGACCAGCAAGCCCAATGGCCAACCGCGAAGTGACTTTTTGTTTAAAGCCCGCTCTCCTCAACCTCGTTGATGCCCCAACCTGAGCCGAAAGAAGAGCATTCGCCAAAGCCTGGCCCTGCTCGCCCGCACCGATCGTGACCTGGTACTGGTTGCACGCTCGCAGGAGAAAGACGAGCTCCTCAGAGGTTCTGTTCAAACCTTTCAAGGTGCCAGCCGGGACCGCGTTGGCGTCCGTGTGGTTCTTCACGAGCGAGGCAATCTCCGCCATCTGCGACTGGATGGCCCGGGCAATGTCATCCATTTGCCCGTGTCCCTCCGCTGCGCCAGCCTTTCGATCCTCTTGCCCATAGATCATCGGGACGCCAATTTTTAGAGAGGTAGCCGGTGAGGACGAAGCTGGCCCCGATCTTTCCGAAGGAGGTGGCTCCATCACATCCCAAGAACCCAGGTTCGTTCTGCCCGATGAAGGCGTAGTCGAAGTTGTAAACCCTGGCCGCTGCCAGACCCGGATAAACTTGCTGAGCCCCTGCTGCCCTCGCTCCTGTTCACGAAGTGCCTCCCGCAGCAGCTCTGAAGTAATCTGAGGCAGAGACGAAGAGCGCTCCGTGGCCAGATTCATCCGCACCTCCTCCTCAGAGAGCCCCAGGTCTCGACCTTCCGCACACTGATGGAAGAAATCCTCAAGCAGGGGAACAGGATCGGCCCGGTTTGGGGAACCCAAGAGGCCCAACTTTGCCAGGTTGCGCTGGATGCTGGACTTGGACTTGGGCGTGCTTCCCGGCGAACGCGTTCTGGGCCGCACCACACGCGCATCCTCGCCCTTCACATCGTCCAGGATCTGGCGTAGATCACGAAGTCCTTGTCCGCCACCTTCCCGTAGCGCTGGAAGTTCAGGTTCTTCAGGGTCGCCGCCGTCAGGTAGTACAACTGTCCGCGCCGGTGAGCGCTTCCTGGAAGAAGGCCTTCGACTCGAGCCATGTAGCTTACACATCCAGACCCCGTTGCAATCCTCAAGGCCCAAACGCTGACAACCTGAGAACCGGCAGCCATGACACCGACGCTTTCGCTCGTAATCAAGTGCATGCCTTGGACACAGTGGAACCACCGCGCTGTCCTTGACCCTGTCCTCGTCCAACAAGGTGTACGGGGCTGCACCTGCCAGGTTGCACGGGCTCTTGCTCAGCACATGATCTTGCTCGTCATCTGCCCACCGAACTTGATGCCCAGCACATTTGACACTCTCTTCCGGCTCTGACTCTGAACAAAACTCCAAGGTGCGCTTAGTAGGGGTCGAGGTCCTAGAAGCCCAAAACCAAGCCCACAAGGTCCGCCCTGCCTCCGCGGCGCCCAGCTCGGCCCCACGCAACTGGAACTTCTCCGCGTCAAACTCTTTGGCGATGGAGTACTCCTTGAAGTGCTGGCCGTCCTTGTCATGGCCAGCGCAAGCATCGACTATCTCCTTGTCTCCACGCCACGAGTCAGGGTCCACCGGCACGTAGAGGCCGGCACTTCGAATGGTCTGGGAGTCGCGTCCAACTCGGAGCACGGCAACTCGACCCTCTCTTTTCACAAGCACCCATTTCTCTGCAGAGCCCACCTTCTTGAACGTTCGAAGGTCCGAGGTCTCTGGTATACGGCCTGTCCCAGGCCCAAGGAAGCTGGCCCCCGTGGCCTCCGGAACTCCTCCTGCTGCCCGCTGAGCCCAGTAAACAAGGGTCCCAACCTTTCGCACAGCGCCACGAACTAGCCAGATCATTGTGAGCACCACCGCGGAGCAGAGCGAAACCACTGGCCAGCACAAAGCCCACAAGTAGTGAGCCAAGCAGCGTCCAAGTAGAGCCAAGATTCGGAAAGCCCTCTGAAATCCGGTCTTGACGCCCGGCCATGCGTTGCCAAACACTGTCCAGCCCACGATGCCCACTACGGAGTCCAGAAGGAAACAAAGGCCTCCATCCCAGGAAAACCCTTTCCTTGCGGTCCTAGGTGAGTCACCCCAAGCGCTGGCCCACGAAACCCAGCCTTCCCCCACTGCTGCCGCCTGCACGTAGTGGTAGCTCGCCCAATGGGACCAGGCCTCAAAGAAAGTCTGGTTGGAAGGCTGTTCCTGGGTGAAGTTGGCTGCTGCCGACTCCGGGGAGAACCAGCCGCCTTGACCGCCACCACCTAACAAGCCCGCAGTCGCACACAATCGAAGGAGGTATGGCATGCCCCTACCACTACCTCACAAAATTGAACCCGAAGCCTTGCGGAACAAAAGACGTGTTATCACCTCCAATGCCCCAGAAAAGCAACGGTTATTCCTAACCTCCCACTTTGTATGGTGCACCTACGGTTGAAACCGTCACAACAGAACATGTTCACACACAGCATGCGACATGTCCCTCAAAATCTGTGCACAACCGGGCAAAGAGCCATTTTGGCGCTCGCTGCACCTCCATTCGAGAGGTCCTGTGGCCCTTGCGGCCCCAGCCCCAAACTCCTTGACCCTTACGTGTAAGGCAACGGTTATTCCTAACCTCCCAAAAACTGTCAGGGCGTATATCCCGACCAGAATTCAAACAAATTCTTTCTTCCCCTCATGCCGGGGTCGGCGGCAGCGGCGCAAGCCCTTAAGTAACCACTACAGAAGACTACGTTATGGATCGGCTCTTGCATATCGGCAAGGAAAACTTCAGAGAGCATTTTATGCTGCAGCTGGACTATGCTTTCAGAAGGTAGTTTGGGCTTACCCGCGTTGTGGTAAACTGTGCTGTTACTGATCCTGGAGCAGTAAGAGGCTTTAATCCCAATAATTCTACGCAGGAACCTAAAATGAAAGCCATCTATGCGTTGCAGATGCTTAATGTATCCCAGAAACACTAGCAACATCGAAAAGTAAGCCATTAAAAAAAACAGGCATATCAATTTGACGGAAACAATAGAGCTTCCGCGGACCTTCCGCGAAA